GATTTTATTTTACTAAACTGTGAGCTATTCAAAGCCTTTACACAGTTAGCAGCTGAGCACCTTAATCAGTTATATCACCTAGGGGTTCTGACCAATAAATGAAAGTCTAGCACCACTATGCCTAAGAGGTATAAAAATCCAAACCCAGTGCCATCTCGTCAATTCCAACTTATAGCCACCCTGCACAGGATTTCTTAGGCTGTAAATCTTTATGGGAGCAGAAAGTCTCCTTTTACTTCCATGGAGCAGCTGGTAGATTCAAACTGTAGACCTTGCCATTAGCAGACCAGCTCATAACCCACTATATCACCAGGGCTCCTTATATGGCAAGTATTGTTACTGTTATTGTTAAGTGCTATTGTTATTATTAAGTGCCACTTAGTCAATCTTGATTCATAGTGACCCTGTACAGGGTTTTCAAGGAGCAGATGGTGGGTTTGAATCATAGATCTTGTAGTTAAAGTCCAGTGCTTATCCTACAGCACCACACCAGGATACCTGGCAAGTAGAACTGACACTAAAATGCGTTTGTTACCTCTTTTCCACTCTACTCCTTTTCTCTCTGTTGTATAAGTTCAGTCCTCGTCTTACTCACAGACACTATCACAAAAGTCTCCTAAATTAATCATTTTGCCTGTAGCTACATGCTCACCAAATCATCACACTTGTCCTAAAGCACACACATTTGATCATATCAAATATTTATTTAGCATTCACCCTTACATGATAAATGTTCATACTCCTCAGCAAGAACACAAGGTCCTTCCCAACCTTTCAGTTTATCTCTTGCCATTTCCCTCCAAATAAATTGTAGCTCAAGCTACTTCCCATTTTGTAAATGCTCCTAATTCTCAAGACTGTAAACCTCTCTAGAATGTTATGCCATAACTGATGAAGCCTACTTACGCATCAAATAATGGCTTCAAGCATCATCTCCTGCCAACGCTTTCCTGATCCTAGAACTTTCTTTGATATTCTAAAGGTCTTTCTGTATATATCATTAACAAGAATTCACAACATTTATTCTAATTTTGCCTGAAAGGCAAAGAGATCTTACACTAGCATTATTTTCAGTACCTAGCATAGAACCTATGCTGAAAGCATGTCTGTTTGACATTTTTGTGATATAAGGTTAATATTCCTGCCATAAACATGAGTGAGCAGTCTGGAGGATTGAAATATGAAAGTGCCACTATATGATGTCTTTCTAGAAATGTTTTGTAGCTTTTGTCTTCTTTTTGTCCAATTAATTCCACAACATAAGTCACAAAGAGCTTTTTAAATGCTGGTGAGACTTTTTCCTTTTAAATGACTGTCAGGACTTTTCCGAAGTAAAACAGAACATACAAATTTACCTCCACCAATCATCACATATATTTGATATTGTTGTTGCTGTTAAGTGCCATTGAATGGGTTTCGACTCATACGACCCTATAAAGGGTTTCTGAGGAGTAGCTGGTAGGTTTGAACTACTGACCTTTCAGTTATCAGTCCTGTGCTTTTCCTACAGCACTATACCAGGACTCCATATTTGATATAATCCATAATAATTATGATCTTTAATAATGCTATAAATGTACTTGCAAAATACAGAATAAAAATTTATCAGTCTCGATAATGCATATTGAATGTACTCAATTAAAACTGAGTCAGTTTCCATTAGACAAAATATACACTAGTATTTGGGCATAAAAGGAAGAGTACTAATTTAGCTTTTTTAAAAGAAATGTTAGAATATGTGATTTTTTTTTTAATTGCAAATATAACTCACTGTATTTAGCACCTCCTGTACTTTCCAGTATATTAGATAATTGCACAGCAAGCTAAAAACAAAATAAAGGAAACATTCTTGCCACCCACTCTTTAGATAAAAGAAATGGAAATTTTAAATATACACAAAGCACCTAATAAAGGTCAATATAACTGGCCCCAAAAGGGCTGTTTATTCTTAATTTTATAACAACTTTTGAAGATTTGGGGGTACTTAAACTGTGAGGGAGAAGGGAACGGGAGTTGTGTTCATTGGTTATGGCAAAAAAGATGGGTTAGAAACTTTTAAACCCTGCTCTGGGACCATACGGGTGCCTCTGTGGTTCTGAACCTCCAACTTCCAGAGAAGCTCCACTTTTTTGGTTTATACACTGAACTTCTGCAAAAGATTTTGCTTGCACAAAGGTTTCCACAGTCTAAAAAATTTTAAACCACTAAGAAATATTAACCAATAGTGGCATCTAATGGATATTGATGATGGTGTTGCTGTTAAGTGCTGTCAAGTTGGTTCTGATTCATAGCATTCCTGTTTTCGAGGAATGGCTGTGGGTTTAAACTGCAAACCCAGTGCTTAACCCACAGTGCCACACCAGGACTCCAATACTGACATTAACACCTACATACAAAACTTAACAGAAATATTCAATATGGAACAACCCTAATTCAGTAGCAAATTTTTAAGAGTCAAAACTAGTGGCACTGTGGGATAAGCAATGGACCAATTTTCTTGGCATCTACCTCACCCCTTGCCTCCACTTCCAAGCCATTTAATACCATCAAAAATCAGAAATTAGCATTTAACTAAAAGAAATTAATAAAAACAGTTGTTTCCTTAAAAAAAAAAAAAGACTATTTAGACCAACCATATTTTATGTGCTTTGCTTATCCAATGAAAAAAACCAACATAACCAACCTCTCCCTGCCAGTGATTTAGTCCATGAAGATTGCTAAAATGGAGCAATGACAGTTATCTCTTTCCTTAAGTCAGTTTTACTGTTTGTGATACTTTATGACAAGATAAGAAAATAAAGTTTCAAAATCACCTAAGAAATATCCCATGAAGTTTCTTTTTTGCCATATCAATGATGGGAAATTTCCATATTTGCCAAACTTTCTATGATGTGAAACATGTGTCTCTTAATGCTTATTACTATATTATAATAGAGAATCACATTCTCTACCATAGTCTCTCCACATTAAAAAATACTAATTGAAAAGATAGAAGAAAAACATTAATTGGCATCTGTACCTCAAAAACAAACTATATGACTACTCATTTATAAAAACCCTTTCCATTTGGTTTCAAAAACCCATGGTGACAAGATGAACAACAATAATTTTAACAGGTTTAAATTATTAACATTTAGTTTCTCACATTAGCCTATACCCTTCTGAAAGCTTAGAAATTAAAATAATGCTACTTTGTTCCAAGCATAATAAACCAAATGCTGTCATACTGAAATTCTCCAAACTTTGGCCCTTTAATATTCTTATGTATTTGACTTATTCAATAAGATACTGAATAATCACAATTGAAGCTTCTCCCCTATGGCAAAACGATGGTGACAAGAAAAGCAATCCTGTTACCCATAATTGAATGCCGACAAAATATTGATGCTTGTAAGAAAAGTAGTGACTAAGACTATCTGTGCTATTTTTGTACTTACTGGCAAACAGAAAGTATTCCAGAAATTTCTTTTAGTTAATTTTGGTTTATTTCCTTAAAATAAAATATAGCTATGTATTCAATTTATTTATTTTTGTTGTTGTTATGTGCCATGGAGTTGGTTCCAACTCAGCAACCCTGTACAGGGTTTCCGAGGCTGTAAATCTTTACGGGAGCAGAAAGCATCATCTTTCTCCAGTGGAGAGATCCTAAATTCCTCAAAAGACTATCTAATATAAAACATGTATAGGTAAAATAATAATGTTTCTATAAGACCCTAAAATGTCTTCTTTCTTTAATAATTAAAGCTCAAAATAGATTAACATATGACCCAGATGCTTCAAGTCCTTTTCAGAATAAGGCAAAGTATAACTTAAAATATATATATATATATTTATAACAGGTTTTGAAATACTGTACATTAAAAAATATTTAAAACTTTAACAGACTATAAATTCTTCATCTTAAATTTTATGTATACCACATTTATATCATCAGGATGGCTACTAAATACACAACATCAGAAAGAGTAATAATATTTTTATGTTTATATATGTAGTTCATTTTCTGATGATAAAAGTACTTCAAATTCATTCTAGAAAGTTTGGAAAATAAAATATGAAAAGTAATCCATCTCCCCCAAAAGATAATCACTCTTAGTGTGTTTTTGTGGGTTTTTTCTATTTTTTAAATCAAAACAAACTTATGCTCATCCCTAATGCATATACAATTTTAAATCCAATCCTGTTATTTTTTTTTTCTTCTAAATGAATTACTTCTACATATTGTCTAATCCACATACAAAGTACAAGGATATGCAATTTACAGCTTGTACCACCTGAGGGCACCCCTGAAATTGTTAAACAACTCTCTAGAACCAATTTGTATTCAATGCGTCTTCTCTGGGCTTCACTTCCTTGCCACAGGACTTGTTTCTGGAGCAGGACAACCACACACCACTAAGTAACTTTGAATGACAGGGTTAAACAAACTGAACTCAAGAGAATTATCCTCCAGACCATTACATGTATTATTAACTAACACAAGTCTATAAAACACGCATTTTTATAACAAGCAATAGAAATTCAGGAATTACTTCAAATATGTTTATTTATTATTTAAATGATGATAAGAAAGATCAGCTTTATATATATAGTATAGCACTTCAAGGATAAAAGTAAGCCACCAGACACCTTACCTGTCTCCTGTGAATTTAATACTTCTAAGGCATGCATCATGGCACTTGCGAAGACATTGGCATCCTCTTTGCTGCCAAAGTTGAGACCATACACTTGTCTAGCATCTCGCCACTGGTGGAAGGTCTGCGTAGCTTGATTGTACTTCAACCCTTTAGGAATGGCACAATTTATCACCACCTAAAAGACAGTAGTACTTTGTAAAGTCAAACTAATAAATGGCAAAATCAATCTAGATTGGATGTATTCATTTAAACCTGTTGCTAACGGACTTTGTCAAAAAATGGCCAGAATCATTATCCCGGGGAAAAAAACAGTTTTCAGAAAGGTGCCGGAAGCTATACTGTCTGACATATAAAAAAGTCTGTTTTTAGCACAGTACATCAGCGCCACAACAGAACATCCATGTTACTTATTAAATAACTAAGTTTTTGTTGGAGTATTATAGACACAGGAAAATTTATGAAACTAAGTGAGCATCTCAAAACATTCCCATATAGCTAATACCCTGATTAAGAAATACAACACTAACACTATGAGCCCTACTCATAAATCTTCCTACCTCCTAAAAGGTACTAGTCACATTTCTAACATCACAGGCTAATTTTTGCCATTCTTTGTATTTTAATTAAATGGATTCTCCCACCATGTATTATAATGTGTTTGCTTTCTTTCCCTCCAATTTATGTTGATAAGAGACATCTATTTTCTGCAATTAGTTGTGGTTTGGTAATTTTCATTTCACTAGGGTATTCCTTTGTACAACAGACCAAAAACTGTTGCCCTTGACTTGGTTCCAATTCATGGCAACCCACCCCATGTGTTTCAGAGTAGAACTGTGCTCCATTGGGTTTTCAATTGCTGTAATCTTTCAAAGCAGATTGCCAAGACTTTCTTCTGAGACGCCTCTCTACTCACTGCTATAACGTTGATTCTAATTCATAGCAACCCTATACAGGAATTTTGAGATCATGAATCTTTATAGAAGCAGACAGCCTCATCTTTTTCATGCAGAATGGGTTTGAACCACTGACCTTGCAGTTAGTAGTCCAATGTGCCACCATGGCTGCTGGAGATACCTGTTAGGAGACTTAAATCACTACCTTTCAGTTAGTTACTGCTTTGCATCACCTAGGGAATTCAATCCCATTGTATAACTTATGTTCACTTACCTATTTTCCTATTAATGAACATTTGGGTTATTTCCAACTTGAAGCTATTAAAAATAGCGATGCTAGGAACATTCCAGTACAGGTCTTTTGATATACACAAACACATATTTTGGCTGGGTATATACCCAGGAATGGAACTATCATGGATATGTTTATTTTTATTGTGGTAGATAACACAGAGTAGCTTTCCAAACTGCTTATCTTTCCACAACAGTAAATGATGCTCCCATTACTACACATTCTAAGCAATATCACAATTGGTACTGTCACTATTTTAGCAATTTTGGTGGATATAAATTATGTATCATTGTTTTAGTTTGCATTTCCATGATTACTAGTGAATTTAGTACCTTTTCTGTTATGTTTTATTGGCCATCTCTTGTGACTATTTGTTCAAATTAAATCTCTTGCCTATTTTCTATTAAGCTGTCCATTTTTTTCTTATTTATACACATTTTTTCAGTTTATAGACTCCTTTATACATTCTGTTTATGATCCCACTGCTCGTTCCATGTGTTACAAAAATATCTTCTCCCACTCTGTGGCTCGTTGTTCATTCACTCTTTTGATGAACAGAAGATTTGGAGTTTTATTCAGTCCAAATTAGTAATCTTTTCATTTATATTTTGTGCTTTTAATGTCCATCTTAAATGTTTCTCAATCCCAGTCATGAAAAATATCACACTTTATTTCAGAGAAGTTTTACCATTTTATGTTTTTATAACTCTAATCTAACTGGAATTAATTTTTGCACATGCTATAAGTTTCAATTACCCCACCACAATGGTGGTGATGGTGTGCCGTAAAGTGGGTGCCGACTCATAGCAACCCTGACTAGGGTTGTAAATGTTTACAGGAGCAGAAAGCCTCATCTTTCTCCCACAGAACAGTTGGTAGTTTCAAACTACTGACCTTGAGTTTAGCAGTCTGACTTGTAACCATCATGCTACCAGAGCTCCTTCCCACCCCAATATAACGATACAATTTCTCAAGTTGTTTACTTTTTAACTAAAGCAAGCATCCAAATGGACTCTTAATTTTGTTCTACTGCTCAATAAGCCTATCTCCGAGACACTACCACATTACTTGTTAGCTTTATAGCAAATTTTGAACAGTCACTAGAACATGTTCCACCAATCTGCTACACTACTTTCATATCGATTGACTATTTCCAAGTCATTTGAGTGTGGCTACAATTTTATGTTCAGCTTATCAATACCAAAAAAGTTGGGATTTTGATAGAGGTGATCCTGCAGCTAACTCATCAATATGGGGAAAACTGGTAAGATCATACAGTTGTGTTCTAATTTGTGGCTATTGTATACTACCATTTATTTAGATGTTTCTTAGTTCTCTGTATAGATGTCATCAACGCCTTACACTGGATTTATTTTAACTTCATTTGTAAAGAGTTATTTTTAAAACATTACGCTCCAGCTCTTTGATAGTTGTATATAAAAAGGTTTCTTTTTGTATAATGCCCAAGTATCCAGAAAATTTGCTGAACTAATTGATTAATTCTAGCAATTTATCTGCATTTCCATTCCCTTAAATATATAAGCATGTCAGGTTCAGATGACAATTTTAACCTCCTGATGTCTAACCCTCACATACGATTTCTTTTTATTGGCTTAATACAATGGCCAAGAAATGTAATGCAATGCTTTAAAAAGAGTGGTGATACCAGATATCTTTTTGTCTTTCCTGATCCTAAGGGGAAAGCAACCGTAATTACACCATTAGACACGATCTTGGTATAATTTTTTTTTAAATTGTGATTAGAGTGAAACTGTACAGTGTAAATTGGTTTTCCACTCAACAATTCATACACATTTTGTTTTGTGACACTGATTCCAATCCTCACAAATAACAACACTCTTCCCTCATCCCAAATGGCCCCTTCGTCCTACTTTCTTACTCTTTCAAGTCTCTGAGCCTTATCCCTGAGCAAATATTGCCCTTTTCTTCTCCACCGGTTGATTATTGTATTGAGTGCATACCTTCTTGATGTTATTGTTCACTTAATAGCCTAACATTTGGCTGAAAGTTGAGCCATATGGGTGGTTTTTGTTCCAGATTTGAAGGGTGTCTAGTTTCAGAGATTCTACCAGTCTGTAAGACCAGTAAGTCTGGTCTTCTTTTGATTTTGAGTTTAGTTCTACATTTTTCTCCATCTCATCCCAGGGTCCTGTATTGTGATCCTTATTACAGTGTGACAAGGTAGTATGTATTCTTTCACCATACTTACTCAACCTGTATGCTGAGCAAATAATCTGAGAAGCTGGGTTATATGAAGAAAAACGG